TGTTGTTGCTGAGCATGAGACTTCTCCTTCCTAGTTTCCTTGATCGTTTGGTTTGTAATTTGGATAGTAGAATATCCGGGTCCTCACTATTCATAGGATCATCCAGGAAAAGTTAGAACCTGCTCTTCACCTCGAATGAATACTGATAGGTGTGGTCAATACCTACCTTAACTACAAACCACACCGTGTGAAAAGGTTCAACATCACCACTGTACGTTAACAACGAAAGCAGAAGATGGACATACGGTAAAGGGGAGGTACCTAGCATTCAAGAAGGAAGATCAGTTTAAATGTAGAGATAGGCGAAATACTAGTGGATACGCGCCAGGGTCACGCGAACTGCTTGCAAAGTAAGAAGTACCATACACAGTCGCCGCAAAACAGGGGCACGTATATACCATCAAAAATGCAAACAGAGAGAAACGGGTGAACGTCAACGAACTCCAGAAATGGATACAGAGAGATAAGCAAAGGAAGACGCCAGCACCAAGAAGATCGAACCGACTTCAGTTTAAATTATTTTACGGGGATACGAGCGTGGTGGTGTGATACAGGCAATGTTTTCCAACGGAATATGATTCTTACATATTCCCACAGTTCAATACGGCATTAGTAACAGAATACGACATATATATTTGAACATTCTGTTTGCTGCTAGAGTTAAATGAATATACACTTTGGCTCCCGTATCTTGCCTCCTGCTGTTATAGTATACCTTCATCTGTTGAAAACTGTAGACTCCTGGTAAATTAGATAGTGTGACCTTAGGGGATAACTCACAGAAATCAAAGCTAATCAAGCACATAAATGCTTAAATTCTGACAGCTAAATTTGGCGATCAAAAGCTGTTGTCCGAATCATTAAGTCGAAAAGTGCAACCTATTGAGGGTTGTCAGTATAGTGAAATATATAATAATTATGATCACAAATGTCACTGGAAGTTAGAAAAGAACACCTGACTTGTTCAATTCACGAGTACCATCTCCTCGTATGAACAAACCAAGGAGGTATCAGTCTATGGTTTACTTTCACACTTTAGGTTGAAAAAGCAATAATTATTCACAGAGAACTCATTGCACCATACATCATAAAAAACAAAAAGATGGTTGCAGCGAAGAAGTCATCAATCAGACTGTCCATTCATGTGAATAAATAACAGCACGGATTGCAGTGATGAGTTCTTGATTCAATCGTAGAACGCTCGCCAACCACGCTTGTAGTATGGGGTTAGAATCCCTGCCTATCTTACAAACCGGAAGTAAGCGCGAAGAAGAGGAAAGGTTTGGCGTAAGGCTACTCTCCATAGAATAACAGCACCATAGATACTGGAACTTGAAAGCTCAGAGTACTACTGCCTTCCACTAGGGACTCTCAAAGGGATGAGAAAGATAAAACTGATTACAATAACAGTGGAAACCTTTTTCTGGCGGCTGTTACTGTGATCAGTCAGTACCATAAATAACTAATTAGTGTAAGAATAAATATCATCAATATTGAAGTAAAGGTTAATTTTATATCTCATTACGTGAACTTGGATACTAAACATTATTTGCAAATACAATTTCACTCTCATTTCAAGTAATAATAATAATAACTCACTTCCCTTTTCATTTTACTTTTCAGGTTTCATTTAATGTGTTTTTTCAGTTACCATTTGTTCTCTTTATTTGTTTGTTTTGTTCTGATTCATTATTGATTTACAATAAGTTAGATTTCTTTTTAATTGAATAGCGCTCGAACCACTGTGCTTAATGTTAGGTAGAAATCCCACCAAATACGAAATGGGCCTTATTTAATCTGAGCAGTACAAATCCCCATTGATTTTAAATGCACTCTAATTTCGAATTGATGAAACACCATTGCTATGGTGTCTGGTTCTTAGTTCTCATCAAATCTGATGTCATGAAGTCTTCCACAATACATTCTGATGATAGTATAAATGATTTCTGTAGGAACTGTTTACAGTTTTGGTAAAAAAAATCAAGACAAACAAAAATATAAAGGCATTAAGAATGGTATTCATCTTCTCAAAGTAATCCGTTTTGTTCATGATGACCACTCCTGAGCCCTTATCCGGTTTTGTTATTATTATGTTTTCATTTTTGCGTAGATTATCCAGAGCTTCTCTGTGTGTTTTGGTTAAGATACTATACGAATTGCGTTTACTGTTCATGTAATAATAGCAACAATCGACCAGTGTTGGTTTGAGTCTTTCAACATCTTCCGTTGATGAGTGAGGGTGTTAGTCCTGCCTTCCGTTTGGATGTAGAGACTTTCGAACTGAATTTGTGCGTCCATTTTGTTAATTTTTATATGACTATCACAAAAGTTTAGGGCCAAGCGATAGAACCTGTAGATCCACTTCACTAAGTATTACATCCGAAAAATTAAACATAAAACGATTAGGGTTCGGAGGAAACCTTGTTTCAGGTGCCTTGTTCTCTAAGCTCTGTACCAGCTACATGCGTTTCTTTTCTTTCTTATTACTCACAATTACATCCACATAATCTAAAAATAGTTTCTTTAGGTTTTCTGGTAATTCATCGACAGCACAGAACCTTTCTATTACGTTCTTCGATAGCTCAGTAATACACGATTAAATTGAGTCAATTTGGTTACGTGCATGATGTTTGAGTGTCTTATCATTAGGCCGGACTCTGTTACGTTGTAGAGATTTCCAATAAGATTTAGGGTACCGGTTTGTTTCAATACACTGGTGGATAAAGTCAACATTAGTCTTTGCTTCACTGAGCCTTGCGCTATACTTCAAATACTCGTTGAGTACTTTTAACGCAAAATGATGCTCAGAAGATTTCAATATAGCAAAAATATTCATTCAGACATCTATAAAACACAAAATAATCGAGCAAAGAATATTCTGAAACAAGGTTTCCTCCGAACCCAAATGGTTTTATGTTTAATTTTTCGGATGTAATACTTAGTGAAGTGGATCTACAGGTTCTATCGCTTGGCCCTAAACTTTTGTGATAGTCATATAAAAATTAACAAAATGGACGCACAAATTCAGTTCGAAAGTCTCTACATCCAAACGGAAGGCAGGACTAACACCCTCACTCATCAACGGAAGATGTTGAAAGACTCAAACCAACACTGGTCGATTGTTGCTATTATTACATGAACAGTAAACGCAATTCGTATAGTATCTTAACCAAAACACACAGAGAAGCTCTGGATAATCTACGCAAAAATGAAAACATAATAATAACAAAACCGGATAAGGGCTTAGGAGTGGTCATCATGAACAAAACGGATTACTTTGAGAAGATGAATACCATTCCTAATGATAATCAAAAATTCCGAAAAATTTCCTCTTCTCTGGATTTGATTGAAAGGATAGAGAAATATTACTTACTTTACTTCGGCTATCTCCTGCGGGAGGATAAGCCGGCTTCATGAACATCTCGAATTATCGCTACCCAGGCGCGGCAATCTGATGCAAGGTTTTGCAACAAGGTTATCCGATTCTTGTTCTACAGACAGAGTCCGTAGACGATTTGTAGCCCCAGGCACTCCATATCAGCCTTGACTGTACCAAGCCATGTTTTCAGCTGTCCACCCCTGCGACATCGCCAAGATGGAAATGGCGACGGATTTCGAACTGATTTGGACAGATCGTCATCTGGTCGGCGCAGAACATGGCCAAACCACCGAAGGCGACGTTGTTGGACCAGTACTGGAATTTGGTTCCCATGAAACTTAATGGGAATTAGGTACGAGTGACGTCCCCAGCATCGCTCGGCCTTTTGTTTGAGAGTGCAGCTCTAGCCTTTACACAACCAAGTGTGACCTACAAGGTAGTAGGAGTGGAGTAGGGAGTCCACTATCCAATGGCAGCCGGTTACTGGAGTCCGGCTCATACGCCCTTTTGAATGGGGCCAGACATCCAGGGCATCCAATAAGCCCTCTGTCCATACGTCTGCCGGTGAGCTTCATACGCCAGTGGTTGGAGGTTTGGAATCAGGGTTTAGCCATCTCCCCTAGACTGTCATCCAATGGACATCACAAACGTAAAGGCTTAAGTAATCTTGTATCACCGTATTATAATCATTCGCTTAGTTCCCGAATGAAACATAAGACTTCAGAAGGACATTTCCACTCCATTCTGTTCTCTACAGTCCCCTTCCGCTCTCCTGTCAAACGATCACTTTTTGATGTAAGCCTTGGACGCTCGACTTGTAGAATCCTATTTGGGTTCCAATCATAGGGTTGCCACGTGCGTAACATCATTCACTGTTGGTCTCCTCAGCGTATTTCTGATTTGTTCTCTATTTCTCTCGGTATTTTTGTTAGGTAACAGGTTGGTTTTAATTGATTTGTTCCCACCGTTTCTTGTTGTTGCTAGTCCTCTTTCTAGCAATAAGTTACCACTTTTCATGTTGCCTAAGATTGATGAATACTTACTTACTTGATTGCGATAATTATGAAAGAAATTTTAAGAAGATAGAAACACCAAAGTAAGAGCTGAGATTAAAATTGCTTGAGGGGTATTTGTTTCAACTAAGTACAGCGTAAAATCTATTCTACTGGAATTAATAGACTGCCAGACAAATCAGGAGTCTATGTGGCATGAATAAGTTTTGTTGTTGTTTCTCTGTTATTCTTTTTGTTCTAGTTATTGTTATCATTATCATCTCGTTTACTTTTTTTCTTGTTGATATACAATTTCGCACAAAGATTAGCCTTTCAGTATGCTTTTATAAATGTCTAGGTTGTTTGACTCATTGAATGAGCATATATATATACCAAGAGATATCAGTAAACCCAATATGAAAAGACGTAAAAGATACTTAGCACTATCACTGTGGTTATTTTTATTCCTAGTGGGACATTGAGCTTCAGCAGCGCGTCTCTGTTTTGTCTTGTTCTCTACAGTCATCGTCAGTTGGCCTTACAATTGGCCATAAACTTTCATTTCTTTCTCACATGATCTCCTTCTTATCACCTTCGTACGTATGCTCAGTTTGTGCTTTCTCATTTAGGTTCCAATCGGTCAATGACCTAATGTTCGATGTCATTCAACAGTCTCCTCATAGTGTGCTCAATCAATCTCTATTTTCTTCAGAAAATTTGTTGAGCAACAGGACGTGGATCGGTTAGTTCCTAGAGTTCCTTGCTGCTAATCCTTTTTGACTGGTCATTTCATCTACAGTATAGTTCCAGAGAATGTAGATGTTGATAAAAGTCTTCAGTGGCTTGTTGGAAATGTTTACCATGACGCGTATTACAGGTTTCTGGCCCATATCGAAGAACTGACTGACGTAACATTAGTGTTGAAAATCTAAATTTTTCTCTCTATCCCGAGTGCAGTAAATTTCGTAACTGATTACAGAGTGGTGAAGGCCTGCCTTGCCTTTCCAATTCTAACCACTTTTGACATCTTTATCTATGCTTACTAGCTGTAGTTGGCAGAATGCTGCCAAGATAAGTGAAGGAAGCGATGTGTTTTAAATGAATTCTGTGGATATTGATTGGTGCTTATTGTTGTGGGTATGTTTTTGTAAGTCTATTGCACTCAGAATAAGGAACACGATCCAGATTTTCGACATTATATTCGGGTCAGCCAGTGCTTCTATATGATTCAGAGACTTGCTGCCAACTCCACGTGAAGAATTTCCAACAGGCTATTGCAGGCTTTCATCGACAGCTCCTCGCCTTTTTTCCATACTGAAGACATTAAGTTTGTCAAACAAAATTACAATTGGTTATGGTTATTTTAACTAAATAGATGAAGATTGTTAATACAAGTCGCGAAAATTAGGTGTTAATCAAATTAGGGTAGTCACAAAGGCGACGAGTTGTCACAAACAATTCTTAAAAGAAGTTATGTAATAATAATATGAATAGTTTGATGATTGAGTTTTACTCAGGATACACATTAGAAACAAAGAAGATAATACGAAATTACATAATAGTTCTGAATGAATACAAGAATTCTAAGCAATTAAAGAACAGGCAAAGGAACAAAATTAATATATGTGTAAAACTTGGGCACTGTGGTAGTAAGTAATTCCATATTAGTTTGTTTATTAGATATATCACACAGTGAAACAGTGTGATTACAATTGATAAAATTATGAATAATAAATTTTGTTCGAAACGTCATCCAGTAAATAATACTGTTTCACTGTGTGATATATCTAATAAACAAACTAATATGAAACAAAATTAAGTCATCAAAATAAAAAAAAACTCAAATGAAATCAAAACAAAAAAAGGTTGTTACCATGACAGTACAAGTGGTTGAGTAATCCTCTTTTGTATGCACAGCTCCGGTTTTTCTATGCGAATGGCCAGAGCTTCAGCGATACAAAGAAGACGAACCGTATTGCCTTTGATAGGTTATTCTTGATTCTGTAGATTACTTTGAAGCAGGAGGCATCTGTTGAAATGGAATAGTCAGTGTTAACCAGGTGTTCAATTATCGCACTCCTTATTGCACCACTATTGCCTCTTCGCAACCATGTTGGATAGTGTTCTTGAATCCTCTTGGACAGGGTGCGCGTCGAACGACCGATATACCTGGCTTCGCAGCAGCAGGTGAACTGATATATGCACACAGAAGTGATCAGATGCGGGATCTTGTCCTTGAGGCTTCTGCAGATCAGTGGGCGACTGGAGAACACTATTCTTAGCGTTACTGCAAAGAATGTTCTTCTCAGAGATTATACTATGTAAAAATTACACTATGTATAAGGGGTGAGGTCAAAGTTAAAGATTACGTAATCAAATGAAAGAGACAATAAAGACACATAGTTACCAGGGCAAGGAAAGACTAATAACTTCTTCTTTCTGAATACATAAATCTGGTTTCAAACATTTGATGAGAATCGCTTCGGCAAACTTGAGGAGAATCGAGCTCCTTTGTCTCTCGATAACTTTGGACGATCTTGTAACGTCCATCCCATGACCCATGTCAAGAAGATGCTTGGTAATGGCACTGTTGAAAGCAGTTGATATCTCTAGATATAGGCTTTTTACTACGTGTTCAGAAAATTGAAGGTGTGCCATTCTTTCTGTTCTCCCTAGGTAACTGCTCCCTCAGATACACGTAAATTTTTATATACAGTTGCAGTTAACATGAAATGGGAGTCTGTCGACTTTTTACTGAAACAAAGAGCATGTTGTTCGATGGATGGGAACCAACTTAGCTGGAGGATAGGCTCTGGCTACTGACGCACTCAGCCTTCTATTTCCCATTGCTGCAATGTTTTCACCCTTAAAATCTAGGTGAATGAAGACAGGCTTTTTCCCGCTGTGATTTATTTGATTTTTGAGCCTTCACATCTTCCATATTTGTTAATGAATCTTTGAGTATAACCGTTGTTTTTCAACATCTTTTCGCGAATCGTGAATTGTTCCTCTAGTTTCTCTGCAGAGCATATTCTCCTCGCTCTGTAGTACAGAGTCTTGACTAGTGCTCGTTTATAGCTGTTTGGAGAAAAAAACTATTAAAATGTAAGTATTGTCTGTTCCATGTAGGCTTTCGGTAAATTGACTTCTTGAGACTACCGTTTTCTAGGTGTTGCATGATAATGTCAAGGAAATGGAACCTTCGATCATTAATTTCATGTTTCATAATGAATTCAATATTTGTATGTGTGTCGTTGACTAATTTGAGTAGGTGGTAAGCATGACTTTTATTGTTGCACACTACAAATGTGCTACTAAAACCCATTGTGGTAGATTTACTGCATACTAAGTGATTTAGCCAAGCCTTGAGGAGAATATTCATTATCAAATAAACAGCTGAACTCTCTCTGTTACTTATAAGTAATTTGTTAAAGTTTGACTGTCTTACTACAAATAATTTGTATCAATTTGCCCTACTATCCAAATGCGTAATAATAATGATAATAAAATCTTTTGAATTCAGGAAAACGTTTTAGCTGAAAAGAATGCTGAATAGGGACTGATGCGTAGTCAGTACAACTCTTCTATGCCTATGAATACAATACAACTTAATCATTTATCTGTCTACCATTTTGACGTTAATGGAGGATTAACCTTTAAAGAATAATTAGAAAAAAAGAATTCAATGTCACGTTATTAATCTACCGACAAATCAGTTTCTTATTCAACGTATTATTCATAAAATTACCGTCTTACATTTCGTTTGAAAATATTGCAAACAGCAGTCAGTGTTTTTTCAACTACACAGATATCTTCAGCGATTATCTACTCAAGATTGAATTCCTAGAGTTTATTCTTTTATTTTTTTTTTGGTTCATACTTCGTCGATAATAAAACTTTTGTTCCCGAATGAATCAGCGGTAATTAAGGGACGTCAGTTCACTGCTTTGTTGTTGTTGTGGTTGTCGCTTGAAAGAATAACTGCTCAAATTTATCATTTAGATGTAGGATTACTTCAAAGCCCCTGGATAGTATCCACCAAGTAGTTGGTAGTAATAACACAAAATACGTGCCGGTTAGTTAGTTTTGTTTGATGTCACCCGCTTTGTATGATTATACTCAAGAGAAAAAGTAGTATGAAGGTGGTGTGATATAGACAATGTCTGCCGACGGAATATGATTCTCACATATTCCCACAGTTCAGTTCGACATTAGCAACCGGATACTATGTATATTTGAACATTTTATTTCATGTTGTTTGATGTAAACCGAAATCACACACTCAGTGATTGGTTAACTAATATAAACTGTGGATATATGAACAGCGGTTGATTAATGAAATATCGACCTTAGCTTTCATGTCTTGTCTTCTGTTGTTACATTTAGAGTCGCTGCCTTCCGACAAATGGAAATCCTGTGCCCTACAGTATTTGATGGAGACAATTGGATCATCAGGTAGGACTTTGAGGCAGTTGTGCAGTTGAGTGGCGTTCAAGAACCGTCAGCGATGAGGCTGTTACTTGAAACGCTGCTGGGAAGTTGGACGACGGCAGCATATAATGGTGTGAGGTGAAACACCGGTGGACACGAGCCAAGGTCATGAAAACTTCTCCCAAAATGGGAAGGACCATACATGGTCACGGTGAGACGGGGTGACGTATAGACGATCAGAAATGCAAACAAAGAGGGGAGGGTGAACGTCAGCAAGCTTTGGAACTCGATACATCAAGACGAGCTAACAAAGCAGACAGCACCAAGATGATTAAACCAACTTCAGTCGAAAGTTTTGATGGGAGGACAAGTGTGGTGGTGTGATACAGACAACTTGTGCCAACGGAATATTATTCTCACATATTCCCACGGTTCAGTTTGGCATTAGCAAGAGAATACGATATATCTATTTGAACATTCTATTTGATGTTGCAGACAGAATACATTTCGCACAGTTATATACTGCATTAACAAGAGAATACTATGTATATTTGAACACTCTATTTCATTTCGTTTGCTGTAAACCGAAATCACACCCTCAGTGATTGGTTAGCGAATATGAACTGTATAGATATGAACAGAGGTTTGATTAACGAAAAGTGTACCTTCCGTGTCTTGTCTTCTGTTGTTGATGATGGTGATGTATTTTGTTTTATTCATTGTGAAATAATCATAGAAAAGAAAGTCGTCGGCATAGTTGACTAAGGTTAATCTTCGGATATTGCATCCCAAGTATGAAGGCTAGTCATGTAGCTGATAAGTTATACCTGTTATGTGAAGGCTAACATTGTAACGAAGTAATTGTTTAGAAAATCCTTGCTGAACGGTCTATCCACAATATTGATAATTATTTGGATATTTCAGCTAACTTTGTAATTACTATCCTCACTTCTCCCGGGCTCAATATCATTCAGTGTTCTGGTGTTTGCATTATTACCCGTTGACTCTGTTCCCATTTAATCCCTAATTTTAATTCTTACCCTTTGTGACTGTGTGAGAGTGTTGATAGTGCGTTTTTATAAGCTTGTACTTCTGTTTGAATGAAATCAAGGTTGGTCATTACATAGTGTGACCTGAAACTGTTTGTGGCAAGTATTTGCTGCATGATTGTTGCTGAGAGAATTTTCCTTTCACTTTGTTGGGAATAAAAGACAAATTCAGTGAAGAAAATTTTCCCTATCGACGAAATCATCTTCAGAAGCTGTACAGTCGTATTTATATTTACCGAAAATGAATAATAGTCCGTTACTGAGTCTTGTGTGACACTTTGGTGTGATACCACTTTTTGCATTCTCCTTGTGTTTGGAAATAGAAGTATCATCGCAAACCTAGTGGTCTTCTGATTTCCGTCTTTCTCGCGTCAGGACTATTAAATTCTCGACCAGTACATAACAATAAATTGACGACGAGTACATAACAATTTGGCGACGGGGAAAACTACTATTAACCACTCAGCAGCAGCAACATAACAAATTGGCGACGGGGAAAACTATGGATCCTTATAAATTGGAATTACTATTTGAACGACAAATGAAATTAATGGAAATGTTCGTCAACCAACAGACTGGTCCAACTTCACCTCCAACCAATCCGAATCATACCGTGCTACCATCTGTCGACGGCATTGTGAATAGTATTTCACAGTTCAATTATGACCCAGATGCTAATGTCACTTTTGACACATGGTATCAACGTTATGAGGATTTATTCACAGTTGATCTCGCCTCACAAGACGATGCTTGGAAGGTGCGAGTGTTATTACGTAAATTGGGTCCGGCAGAATATGAACGGTACTGCAACCTAATTTTACCCCAAAAACCACGTGACAAGTGTTTCGATGATACAATAAAGCTGCTGCGTGAACATTTTGGAGACCACTCCTCATTATTCAGTATACGTTATCGTTGCCTCAAGCTGGCAATGAATAAAAATGATGATTTTCTTACTCACGTTGGCACAGTCAACCGAGAATGTGAGAGATTTCGACTCAGGTCCTTAACAGATGATCAATTCAAAGCCTTGATTCTCATATGCAGTCTTCAATCTCCTCGTTTCACAGATATCCGAACTCGACTGCTCAACCAGCTAGAACAAAATCCTAAGTTAACATTACATGACATAGCTGATGAATATCAACGGCTGATTAATCTGCAGAAAGACACACACCTGGTCGAATCAACACCTTCGAGAAGCTCTGATATTCATGCAATACGAAAGAGCAAAAATCTCTCATCATCCACTCCTGACCCACCTTCTTCTAATGTTCCGCGGAAATCTACACGTACTCGTCCAACTTCACAAAATACTGCAAAGAAGACCCCACCATCACCATGCTGGCATTGTGGCGCGTGGCACTTTGTAAAGTCTTGCACATACAAAAATCATCGTTGCAGCAAGTGCAAAGTCATCGGTCATAAAAATGGTTTTTTCAGCCACGCAAAACCAGATATCATAATCCAGCAAAAGCTCGACAAACTGTTGGTCCTAAATCTCCAAGGAGATCATTGAGTCTAGTCGCAACCTGTCAAGTCACAACACCAGGTATTCGGAAATATCTTGATCTTCAGATGAATGGTCACGATACACGTCTGCAGCTAGATACCGCTTCTGATATTACTGTTATATCAGAGAAACTTTGGAATAATATTGGAAGACCACCAATCGGAAATACTTCCCAGACTCTTCTCAGCGCCTGTGTTGGGCGGCTCAAACTAATTGGTGAACTCAAATGTTCTGTTTCCTTCCGCAATACCAAATTCACAGGAATTTGCTACGTCACTAAGAGTGATTTAAATCTTTTGGGACTTGATTGGTTCGATCGTTTGCATCTGGCTGATGTCCCACTAAATTCTCTATGCAATGCAGTCAAGAAGCATAAAATGTCAGACAATTCCGGACGAAGCCGAAGCCGCAAACCCAACAGCAGACGAAACGACAGACGTCAACAACAAGCTCAAAGGTTCCAGATAAACCCCCAGGAAAACATCCTACTAATCATCAATCTTCTCAAAAGGGGAGGTGATATGTATCCACATATATATATGTGTGTGTATGGTGATCTCTCTTTCTGTTGCTCGCTTAGTCTGTGACCATTTCACTTTGATGAACCTGTCTCCTTTAACAATGTATATTCCCCTTATATTATATATAATATGAGTGTTTGTTGACAGTCCGTTGCTTGGTGACAGATATCCATATTATATGTGTGGTTGTTGACATGTCTGCTATATTTTGCTATGTATATGGATCGACACTCCATTATAATTAGCCATTCATGTTAAGACTGTCTATTGATTTGTTCACACACTTGTCTGGACATTCATATATATTTCGCTCACACAATCTTGCGTGTCCACTTATTTTTGGTGTGATACCACTTTTTGCATTCTCCTTGTGTTTGGAAATAGAAGTATCATCGCAAACCTAGTGGTCTTCTGATTTCCGTCTTTCTCGCGTCAGGACTATTAAATTCTCGACCAGTACATAACAATAAATTGACGACGAGTACATAACACTGAGTAATAGGGTGGGGGTGACATAATTGATATAATTACTCGAAAATGGCTTTAGAGGGAAAAATAAAGGTTGTAAATTACGTAGTACTCAACTGAACAAAGGAAGAAAGTCTTAGAAATTTGATAAGGTTAAAATGCTATTGAGTGAGAATACAGGCAGTTTAATTTTAGTTGAACAAGTGTGACGAGGGTGTGAAAATGTACAAAACGAACACATGAGAGTGATAATAGTGAATTAATTATTAAAGTAAAAGTAAAACTAAAAGTAAAATTAAAAAACTAAAAGCTTTTATACAGGGAAGGACTAGTGAAGAGATTAAGACCAAGATAGAATAAGAGACTGGACAAACAGAGTTCGGTTTAATTGACGAATCGCAAGCACCTCCGCCATACACAGAAACCGAAACCTGACGCCCTTTATACCATTTGGCCTCATCTTGTAGGTGATCTTGAGAGACGACTCTGGTTGAGTTCACTAAATGCTCGGGAATTGAGCTAGAAGTTGTCTTACACTTTCCCTTTGCTAACCATGTCGGATAATGTTCAGAGATGCGTTTGAAGAGTGTGCGCTTTGTGAGGCCAATATAACTAGCTCCACACGAACAGGGAATTTATAAACACACATTGAAGTGCCCAGTCCAAAGCGGCAGTTTATCCTTCACACATCCATTGATCACTTGTCGGCTGTAGAAATTGATACGTAGCTCAGCCGTAAAGAAGGCTTTCCTCAGTGATCTGCATAAGCGATTTTTCTGGACCTCAGCTGAGGTATCACCTTCGAACTCAACCCTCATAAGTAGCAGTTTCTTCGGCACCGTCTGGGTTCTTTCAGGCTTTACTTTTAACCCATGTTTTTCTCGATAAATCTTGGAGGGTATCCATTCTCTATGAGGACCTGTCTGAGTCGCTCCAGTGCTACGTCAATTGTAACATTGGAATAAATCCCTCTTATTCTTGAAGATAAGGAATGGAACAGATTTCTCCTTCTTCTCAAGGGCACCCAGCTATGAAGATTCGTGTTATGACCATTTCATGTTGCTTTCCTGTAGATCGATCTTTGAAGAGAACCATCAGATCTTCTCTTTAGAAAAACATCCAAAAAATGGAATTTCGATGTCATTTTGATTGCATGATAGCAACTGTTGAACTCTTTAGTTATCATTTCGATGTCGGTATTCTCGTCACCTATTATGAAAGTTTCATCTATGTATTTTTGATACAAATGGAAACTTTCGATAGTAGGCCGCAACATACTATTCTCCAAACTTGCTAAGAAGCAGTCTACAAGTGAAGGGCTCAGTGATGACCCGATTGTCACTCCATCTCCTTGTCTATAAAGCGTTTTGTTGAACTTGAATCGAACCTCAATAGTAGTTCCTTTAAGTAGTGGATCGGAACACACACGTCTATATTATTATCCTCAATGAATTTGCATTTAAAGCATCTTCAATTTTTTACTTCTAAAGCTACTTCCGAGTAATTATATCAATTATGTCACCCCCTAGCTTATTAGTCAATAATAGACTACTATACATTTTTGCTAAATATAGATAAATACGACTGTACAGGTGGCCCATGAAGATGATTTTGTCGATAAAGCAAATCTTCTTCGCTGAATTTGTCTTTTATTTTCTTCATGACTCAATGGGTATTTTCGGTGATTTGTTGGGAATACTCTACTTGATTCTCAGGTACTTCTTAGGGTTGATTTCTGTCTAACTAACTTAGTTCCACAGTACTTGTTTTGTACTGGAAAACTGATCTGATCTATA